CCCTTTTTGTTCAGCCTCTGCCATCGCACACTAAAAAACACCCATGCGCACATGCGAAAACCTTGTTGCTTCAGTATTGTGTTGTGGTGAGGTGGGGGCAACTGTGTAAAAGATTATCAGTGCTCCAACAGCTGGGAGTGAGAGCCATGAAACAGCAGGGCTTGGGCCTGCTTTATTGTTTATCTGTTGTTTATGGGCCAGTGTTCAGCTTTAATTACTACACTAAATTAAACTCTAACAGGCACTTAGAAGAAACCAGCTAACACATGCACATGCATACAACCTCCACCCCCCAACCAAATACACACACACGCAAATTATGCATTGTAAATACACAGACACACCTCAACGATCACTCCAGAGCTGGAGTATACGCTACTAAAATGCAACAAGGTTTCCATCTTGTGTTTACCAAAGATTGCTGTGTTTTTTTCTAATGTGATTACATGTTCTTTCTTTTTCTACCTGCACATTTGCATCTTCTTGAGCCCTGAGAAATACTGTATTTAAAAAAAGCAAAGCCAAAGGTCTGGAAACTATAAGATCCAACAGGGCTTGTTCATGCTGGGACACAAGGAGCTGAGTCCCCAACAGAAATGACCTCTTTCTAGTGAGCTCAACCACAAAGACCTTGTTGATTGGGGCCCCTAGCCAGGGCCAAAGGAACTCACCACACTCCCTACACATACACATATACACACACAAACACAATCATACCACAACACCATCAAGCGCAACGTGCTCCCTTGGAGCTGAACACTCAAGCTCTCCCTCTCTTTCCTCCCTTTCTCTCCATCTCTGCCTCTCTCAGTCTCTCTGGGGAGTCGGTCTATCCGCAGAGCGTGGGGATTGTTCAATTGCTGAGAAAATGTACAAAATGCTTTCTCCTCTCTTCTGTTGAGCCTTGTCCATCTACAGTAGAAGCTTGGAACAGTACAGAAAGCCCCTTTGCTCGGCACTCAAGATGTCAACGTGGATTTGGTCTTCATGCATAGCTAATAATTACAAGTGTGGACTGGAGCTGCGGCATGCTCAAACGCACAATCACACACACACATATGCACATACAGAAGGAGGACAAACGCATTACCTACCATGCTGAATCAGTGTTGGGGATTTACTGTTCATGACTGAGTGCATTTGACTTTACTGTGTTTGGTGTGGGCAAACGTGTAGAGTATTTCATCACACTGCTCCATCACACTTTGGATGCTTACCATATAACAGACACCTGCTTGGAAACGAGTGCTATCTTAAGGCACGCACATTCATCAAGTTTACCTCCCTGCAACTGATGTCTATGATGTTTCAAGATAAGCTTGGAAAAGCTCCAAAGGACTGTTAATCAAAATGATGTGAATGCAGAGCCAGTGTAGTTATTGTGTGTTACCTTCTGAACTGGCTCCCCTTGTATTTATTTATCTAGCTAGAACATAGGGAGTCACTCTCTGAGAGTCAGAGCGTTGATTTTGCCCCGAGGGCGATAACTCATATTTCCTTTTTTGGAGGGAAATTCTGAGAAAAGTATTTTTTTTTAAAGTCTGTTAAGCGGAGGGATTAGGGTAAGGATGCAGATCTGAGAATTGTACAGAAAACTTTTTTTTTAAAATATGTGTCAGAACCTTAGCTGGCAATCTTTACTGACAGCTACGAACATGCTTCACCTTGGTTTTCTGCTTGACAATAAATTATTCCACACGAGGGATAATACATATTTGCGCACTTGTTAAATTGCTTTTTGGCGCAGGTTCAGAACAACGCTCAGCACTGAGATACAAGCCAAAGACTTTAGAAGAGGACTGTGTTCAAAGCGACCCTCTTGAGTCCTGTATGACGGTGCTTACAGCACTTTAAAAAAAGAAAGAAAAAGAAACGGTAAGCAAGTGATACAGACGTTTATTCTCGTGTACATCCCCTAACAGGGAAAGGCAAAAAAAAGCTAGTCTTTAAAGTAAAAGTGGACTTGGTCACTGTCAGAGATCCTTTGATATTTCTGGGACAAATGGACTGGTGTCATATTTCATGCAAGGATGTTTCTAGATTAAAATTTGATTTCAGTGTTTCTCAAGCACGGATAGAACACACCTTTTAAGAGGAAAGACGGCAGAAAAAAAAAAAGTTGATGTTTTTCTTGGCAGCCGAAACCTAAAAGCGGCGTGGATCTCACGCGCTCTTTTACTGTGCTCCTCTCTCACTTTCTCCCATCTATTCTGTCTTCCTCAACCGATCCACATTGTCACCCCTTTTAACAGGGGCCAAGCTGTTAAAGACCCCATTACTGAAGTGAAGCCCACATTTCACATTTTCTCTGTGGACTTGAGAGTGCGGACTACAAATTTTATGTTGAAATGTATCGAGATAGGAGGCGAGATCATGCATGGAGCGGAGTGAAGGAGAAGAGAGTCGAGGCGGGAAAGGTGGAGAGGTTGGAGAGGGAAGGCTCTGTCAGAATGGAAGGGCCAGAGTCGGGAGTCAGCGAGCGCTTCAAGCGTTAACGTAATTGCAAGAATGTGAAAAATGAGGCGGCGGGGCTCCCGAGCGAAGCGAAAGGTCAGAGCATGCCTCACACAAAACAACTGGCTAGAGGACGGCCTCATTAGACCATTAAATCAGCTACCCTTGGTCTTTTTCCCTTTTACTCTCTTAGTCATTTTTCCTCCCTGATCCTACTTTTTCACCTTCTCTGCTCTTTAACCTTTGTACTTCTGTGGTTCTTCAGCTTTGTTCAAATCTCCACTTCTCTTCTAAGCTGCTTAGTTTGTGTTTTTTCTAGCGGCTAAATATTTTTGAGCTGGTGGATTTTGCATTTAACACTGCGTGCAGGTCAGGCTGTGGACCTGATCTAGTCTAGGTCTATCTTGGCCCAGAACGCGGTGCTATACCGTAACTGTCTTTGGCCCGTATTGATTGGCTGTTACTGGATACGGTGGGGAAAGGAGTCGATAAGTGCTCTGTGGATTACAGGTCACTTGTACTTATGTGTGTAAGATAATCAATAGGCAGTGCATTTCTTTCTCTCATCCCCTTCCTCTTTCGGTTGCTCTTCATCTCCCGTGCTTCTTTTGCAATTACAAAGAGGAGTGCAAAAACTCTACGTGTGCTCTGTCCTCTGATCTGTCATGCTACGTTTTTAACTAATACTATGACTTCAAAGCAGAAAATCCATTTAAATCACAGCAATTTCTTGGATTTTTCTTTTCTAAAGTTTTAAGTATAGTTCAACTCATACATCACTTGGCCAGTAAAATCGGCCTATATTGGTCGATGCCGAATATATTAGTACTGTCTGATATATACGTATATTTTTTTGCATAACATAATGCAGAAAATGTCATCACATAGTTTGTTGACAGAGCAGCTCTGTCTGCATTGCTAATGCTCTCAGCACTGTCTGCGGAGCACATGTAGCAGATTAGCATTAGAGCTGAGCAGACGGTTTTGCAGAGTAAGTTTCCACCTAGTTTGCGGTTAAATAAATAAACAACAATGTCATCATTTTCAATATAACCCTAGCATACTGTACGTATACCTACGTGTATGAAAATGAAGTATGTCATTTTCAGACAGATACTGTATTTGCATGATCCAGTATCAATCAGGTCCTAGTTTTAAGACATTTGAGACATTTAAGACATTTGTTGCATAACAAAATGTCCTGTTTATGCGGTCTGTGAGCATGCAGGGCACTCTGTAGTTTCTTTAACCAACAGATAGTTCTGCATCTGTCACAGGAAGAGGAAAAACAATGCCTAAGTAGATTTATTAAGGGTCGCATTATGATCAAGAATTCTTTCCTTGAACAATGTTACTGAGACATATCCTATTACTTTACCAGTCTTAGTTATTTTTCCAACCAGGCTGTGATTCAACTAGTTCTGACACAACTGACCACAGATGTCTGCTGTGGTCAGTAATGTTTCAGGGGCTTCCGTCTAAGGAGCAGGAGATGATTTAAATAGCCCCACCACAAAGTACACATCATCAATACATTTGACTGCTTATTGGCAAAATGATAGCACAGAACAGGCAGAGCGAGCAGCTTTGCTCTGTGAGCGAGCTGGTATCGGTGTGTATCTGAGTCTGCTTCTGTGTTTAGACAGCGTGATGAAATTTCATGAAAAACTCTGGACACTGCCAGAGGGCACCCATGGATACAGAAGAGACCCACAAAAGCACACATCTCTGGTGCATTCAAAACAAGATGAAGACAAGAGAAGTGGGGTCAGGAACTCTTCATCTGCTCTCTCGGTTCAGGCAGCAGATTTCACTTTTAATCGACTTTAATTTTACACGAATTTAACGCTCGCTTTCATATAGAAACTTACCTAACAGCACGTACATTTGACAATTTTCATGTCAAAACTGATACCGACCGTGACAAAAATACGAGGCAGGTCGCTGTGACTCAAACACACTATCTGTATTAAATTCAAATGCATTTGTTTTGAAATGCATTATAAGTGTTTGGCAGGTCGTGTAGTAGATAACACAAGGCTCAGTGAGACATAATTAGGGGCTGTTGTGCAGGCAAAGTTAATATGGTTTAAATTCAAGAAAGAACTGGCAGAAATATACTATTAATCACCAGCTTTTGTTCAGCTCTCTAAATAGCAACACTTTGGAAAGCCTTTTACTAGGTTGGTATGGTATTCCTGTGGCTGTTGCTGGTATTTCAGTGCGAGTACAACAGTGGATAAGCATGTTCATTTTTAGGTGTGACTGTGTTTACATGGATGCCAGTCAAAAAATTGGATAATCCAAAGTGCAAAAGGAAAAGGACTGGGACATGTGTAAAGAGAGATGTGCCACCTATTCACTATAGAGCTCACATTAGACAGGGTTAAAGTGAAGAGTTGGCAAATCCATGCGTGATGATTAATATGTCCTGCATAAATCTATATATGTTTATGTGCTAGGGCTTGAGCGCAAAACTAGACCAATGTGTGCGCATGTGTTACGAATGTGCATGCATGTGCATGCCCATTTCTGTACTGACTCACCTTGCTCACTGCTGTTGTCACCGCTTTGTGAAGCATGTCCCCCGCTGGAGGGCCCCGGTGTGCCGGCTGAGTGTGTGGAGGTGGCGTCATCGTGGTCTCTCCAGGAAGCTGGGTTCTGAGGTTTGAAAAAGGAGAAAGCGAGCGTGGGATCCATCCATCCATCCGTGCATCCAACCACATTCCCCATCCAAACCACAAACCAGGAGCAGAGAGAGAGCAGGGAGGGGGAGAAGTTGGAGGAGAAGAAGATAGAGAGGAAAGGAACAGAGAGAGAGAGAGAGATTTCATATGAGTATGCTGGAAATGTGAAAGTGACATCTGTAAGAGTCTAAATGCATCGTGAAGGTCCTTGGCCTGTTTGTTTGGCCAGCTTTTTTTCTCCTTTATTTCCCAGCTAGCAGATAATCAAAGTAGCTACAGTGATTGAATAGAAACAAACGAATACACCAACGCAACTGGCTATAAGTCAAAACGCTGTAATCAAAGTGTTTCATTAATGTATGAGGGCAAAACAAAGCACCGTTAATGTGGCATTTGATTTTGAACATTGCAAGTAGAGCGCTTGTGAGTAATAGTCTAAACACATATGGCGGAGCCCAGTGCAGTTCATTTGTACCATAACCAATTGAGACTTCCGTGTCAAGTGAGAAATATAGAGGTAAAAAGTCCAAACACACCACAGCCGCCATTAATCATTACCACTGTCAGAAATGAAAATAAGATATGACAGTGATTCTCCTGCTAATCTGCCAAAAATGTGTACACGCCCACACTGACATACACACACGCCCACAGAGGCTTGCTGAAATACACTTATGCACACATGCTAATGACATAATAGAGCAAGAAGTATAAACACAGATGCATGCACACTCACTTTCATATATACAAAGGCATCGTGAAAAGAAGTGTTAAAATCCCTGCTGGCTAACTTCAAAGAAATAACCATAAACAAATTCATAGCTTTTAAGTTGACTTTATTCTCTCCTGCCCTACGTCCAGCTCAATTTCTCGGCTCCTCTTCTCTTTCCTGGTCATTCCCACTCCCCTGTCAGTACACACAGGGAAACAGGATTTTCTACTGTACAGGAAAGGCTTTATCAGAGCCACATGAAGGCAGACTAGAGCTGGAATTTCCTCTGCCATTCAGGCAATAGAGGGACAGACTGATCACGTCATATACTACATCTGTGCCCACAAACACAGACTCAATCGGCTACGCACTCCAAACAGCCTCTCGCACAGAGTTGATACGACATCCTAGCTCACGCAGCCCTCGCTAGTCTTTCCCAGTTTAACATGTCACCTGAGTATGATGACAAAATGTTGGCAAACTTGAGCCTAACGTTGTCTGGGGCCCGAGAGAAGCAGCCCCTTGAGCAGAGCCCAAGCCAAACAAACACAGGCCTGCACCAAGGCTTCCCACAAACCTCAACCCACTTCTCAGTTCCCGCTACGTGTTTTTTTCTCCCTCAAACACACATAAACACATATACATACATATGAAAGTAGAGGGAAAATGTACATGCCACAGTATATTCCTAGAAACAGACCGTTTTTACCATTTTGTCCAACTTGAGTAGAGTTTCTGATGAACTTTTCCCTCAGTCCCCACCAGAGAGGAGCCTGCCTGCTTGCCTTTGTGCCCCAGTCAGAGTAAGCTGTACTCGAAGAGGACAGACAGGATAGAGCCTGGAGACTAATCGAGGTTCGCAGGGAAACAGAGACTAAAGACACGCCGCTGCCGAGGTCCCCTGGGCACACAGTCCTGATGTGCTGGTGCTTGTTCTGCTGCGGAGGCGAGGCTGCTGCTATGCCTGTAAGCGAGGCCCTTTTATCTGCTAAGTTTTTTGGGGAAGGCGGGCTGTTTTCTCAAACAGCTTGGAGCTGAAAACAGCAGACAGAAACACACAAGACCCTTCAGACCCCGCGCTCCACTCAAGGCCCTCTCAGCGTCAGCTGTTCACCGGATGGCAATCAGATAAAGAGCTCAGAGAATTACTCAGAAGAGGGGTAAGAAGACAACGTGAACAATAGCCCGTGCATGGGTTTTAGCCCTCCAGAGTGAGTGAAGGGGAAAGTGTCCTCGTACTGAGAGCGATGGATGATTACGATGTGTTCACTCTCTGGGCCACTGATCAACACATGGAACACTTCATGGGAACAAGGTCTGTTGTTATAGTAATTCTCTGTTATTCTCAACACAGCGCAGGCTAAGTAAAATCCCTAATGTGGGAAAAGCCCATCAACCCCCTGAAAGCAGTCGAATTTTGTCTTTGTCGTGTTCAACACAGAGGGAAGGAAGAAAGAAGAGGTAAAAATCCCAGACTCCCAGAGTGAATAGTGTGTTTAAGCAGAGCTGGGCTCTGGGCTCTCAGAACGGGCTGTTGTTGTTCCAAGAGAAGAAAATGACTGGGTTCTACTTCCTCACAATGAGACACCCACTGCCGGCGAGACACAAGACAGACCTGAAAAACTGTGCTCACTGCTCTCACACATGCCTGCTCTCTCATTCTATCTCTCCCTTTAACACTTGCCAGCTACGGCCACAGCCAGCTATGGTTTTAATGCAACAGTGGAATCGATAGGACTTAATTTAGCTATCATTGCAGAGTAATGTGTCATTTTTAATGGCGCTGGCACTAAATTAAATTCAAAGACACCTCATCTAATGGTGTAAAAGGGAATGATATTTTGCTGTGATTTGCTACCCTGTGGATTTAATGGGCCTTTATGTGGGGATGTAGATAAAGCTTTGTTAGTTTGGCTCTTACAGTGGAAAAAGAAGACTGCAGCACTTTATATGACCTAATAATAATAATAGAGTGCACACAAGACCAATGCATATGCAGTGGAGCGCACACTTCTCTTTTAGTACCTGTAAGTCACCGCTCATTCATAAGCGTGTGTGCAAAACAAGACAACGAATATCAAAACAACAGTGTTAACTTTCCACACTCAACAAGGCGACAAAAGCAACAGCCTTTCCTCCCTATGAATAATTTAGTGGGTCTCTCTAAGCTATGGCGGGTGCATCATCAGACACTGCGCCGTGCAACACAAACACACACAACCATTTTGCCACAACCCCTGTGGGTCTGATAAAGTTCAAACAAGTTGCAGGAAAAAAAATCATGTCACACAAACAGTCTTCAACCTACACAAAAAGTGCTCGAATAAAACAGGGGAAGATGCAAAAGAGACAAAAAGGGCCTCCAGCCCATGTGACTATTCCCTAAAGCTGGGCATAATTAGGAGTCAAACATGGTTCACTCCATGCTCCTCGCTAATTGTGTTAAAGAGCAGTGTTACCAGGAGGAGGAGGAGAATGCCAGCAAGCAAACACACATACATGTGCAGGAGGAAACGCGCACACAAATGTACACAGCAGGACTAGATAGAGAATAAGATACAAAAGAAGAGGGGTCTCTAGAGGCAGCCTTTTCTATTTGCTGGGGTTAGCAACTGGCGGCTGCTAATACAAGTTGTAATTAATATAAAAGCAGGAGACAATATGGGAAGGAAGGCTCGTAGTGCAGCCAGGCCGCAGGAGAGTGGGAGAATGCTGCCGTCTCCTCTGCCACTGTCCCCTGTTTCTCATTTACAAACACCTGCCTGGCACAATTTCACTTCCCTCACTGCACTCTGCCTACATCCCTAGGAATTTCAAATAAAATTGATTTAGCAGCATCATTGAATTTCCCTCAAAAATTCCCCAGAAACCTGGAGGGAAAGGGGGAAATCTGGTGCAGTAGCAGCAGTGTAACACAGGCTGAGAACGACTAACCTTGTGAGTCTGTGCGTGTGTGTGCGTGTGTGTGCGTGTGTGTGCGTGCGTGTGCGCGTATGTTGAGCTATCAGTGCGCGGAGCAGCTACAGAGATCCTGTGCTGAACATGTAAGGAATCGCTGACGCACCAGAAACACACGGCGCCGTAAATCATGAGGCGATGTGACATTTCAAGACACATCTTGCCACATGGCATAAACAAAGAAAGAGAAAAACTTCTCACACATTTCTGTTGCGTTGAGCTCGTAATTATATACAGCCACTTCAGAAAAGTGTAGGTGCACTTCCATTGAACGGCTAAGCATTTACAACCCCCTCAATTACCCACAATATAAAAAGTCCTTAATTTAGCAGCTAATAATTCACCACAGCATGTTTTAACAGACAAGGAGGATTGTCTGATTGTATTTATGCCTGAAAACTTTCTCTGAGGCAAAAGCTGTTTTACTCGCTGTAGTACATTATGTGTGCAAAGAAAGAAGAGATTAAGTTTTTTTTTAAAAAGTGATTCATGGGTTTGGCACAGCTTAATATGATATATCCCAAAAAAATCAAATGGCAAAAAAAAATGTTATAAACACTTGTGCTTTCATTCATTCCTTTAAAATAACAATGTACAAGTTAATATAAATCTCCTGATCACTGCAGTCATTTACACCATGCTTTCAGCCAAATATAGGGGAGTGCGGAAGATGCAACAAGTTAGCATAGCCTCTCTTCAGCCACCATACCGATGATTAGATATGCCTGCCAACAAGGCCCTGCCACTGAACACAATTCAAATAGGAAATGTAAGGCCAGACATCCCACCATCACAAAACAATTGCGTAGAACAGACAGAGCGTCCCAAGTCAACAATGCACTGTTTTCATGATATCCAAACGTAGTCGGCCCTCGAGGAGGACAAAGCTAGTAGAATTAGAACGCCTCCAAAACTGAGAAATTGCATGGTTCAGCAGGCAAGCTTGGCCTGAGGGCTCGCTGTCCACAGGCAGAGGGCTGCGTATGCGCTGCACTATGCATAGTGACGTACAGAAATAGGACAGGATCTTCCTGGGCACGCACCTCCACAAATACACACACACACACACACTTATGCACAGGCTCAAGATGAGCTATTGCATTACTTGATTAAACCTGTGACATCAGTGCATTTGACCATTGGTCTACAGTGCCCAGAGCCTTTATCAGAGCTAGAGACCTAAGCAGAAAAGGCTTTTCCTCCTGTTTTCTACAGCCAAGCAAATTGCAAAATAAGCTATACCATAACTATGAGCACTTTCACTCCTTGAGGAAAGATCTCCAAAACAAAGCAGTGGGATCTTTGAATGCAACAGAGTTTCTGTCTGGCAAATCTTAAACTATGCAGAAATTCTACTGCAGTCGCAGCATTATAATGCATATGCATAAAAGAAATGAGAACCCTTCTGCTAATAGCTTGACTAAAGAAGCGGCACAATAGCACAAGAAGACACAAAGGCTAATTCATTAGAACAGATAATACTCAGACACTGTTAATTCTATTTGTCTCCCTAATTGGATGTAGCATAGAAGAGACAGAAATTTTATTCATTAATTAAAAGACGAGAGCAAACCAGTGACAAGTGCACACACATATACACACCAACCTTTTGCAAAACTACACCACTGTGTGTGTTTTTTTTCCTATCACCCTTCATGTGTAATACAAATTCTATTTTTCCTTTAAATATGATTGAGTCAATCTGAGGAGGGGCAATGAGTTAGGAAACACTGGGTGGGCTACATGCTTGAGATAGTCACCGCAAGCGAATGAGGGAAATCAACAGTGTCAGTGAGGCCTTATCCTGATATATGCTGTAAGCCAATCATCTCTAAGACCACGCTGCATTCAAATGTAAATACAACTACACTTTAAAGCTCCGCAGTAAGGTATGAGGAAGGGACGGGAACGAAAAAGAAAGCGATAGAAAGGAAGGGGTAACACAAACATGCACACATAAAAAACAAGCTCAACAGGCTGCCTCCTCACTGAAGAGCCTGATCTTCTCCAGAAAAACCGACTTTCACCAAATGAGATGTAGCCCAAGGCTATATATTAAAAATGCATATCAAAGCAAAGAAAAATGGACGTGTGAGATTCTAACTAAATAAATTAGCATATCTAACTATCAAGCCGCCTTCCTCTCCTCAATGAGATGCGAGGACAAAAATGAATAATAAAATAGAGCCAAATAATAGAAGTGAATAGATAGAATAAATAAATCAGGACAAGAGTGACAGAAATTGTTTCCCATCCATCGGCACAGTTTGGCAGCCAAATGCCTTTTTTGGGGGAGGATGGGGGGGGTGTATTGTGTCCAAATACTGAAAACACATTTTCGGCATGCAAAGCTGGACGCTTTTCAAATAGATGTGGCAATGACTGCTAGAGCAGTTAACTATTTATTACAAGGTTTTTAGATCATGGCTGCACTATACTGTAGTTTCGCTTTCTTCCCCTTTCTGCAAATATTATTCCCACTTAAGCATCATGAGGTGCACACATGTTCTCACACACTGCCCTGCACCTCTATTTATTAAAAACAATAAGCTGGAGTATGTATGCTTCCATAAATTGTAGCCATTATTTTAAAAAAAATCCCTACTCTGCCCAGACACAGCTCTGAAAGCAAATAAGGAGAGAGAGGAAAAGAAAAAAAGACTTTCTCCTGCTTTAGTAAAATCCAGCCCAGCAGTTAGGTATAATAAAAAGTTCATTGGTGCCACAAAAGTGAAATAAATCCCTCAAACTTAAATAGCTAATGAGGTGGTCATTTCAAACAACCCCGAGATAAATGGCTTGTCATGCAACCTTCTTTGTTTATTGCTGCTCCTGATTTGCTTTATTGGCATATTTAATTTTCTAATTATCAAAATATTTCTTACAAGTGGACTGATGACAAAGCTGGTGTCTGAGCACTGGAGGCACCATTGGAAATTGGCTTGAGTGCCAACCATCTGCCATGAAACTAAACAGGCTAGTTTATCTAATCTCTGCACTATAAACAACAGCATGCCTCATTTCTACACTTGTGTTGGAGGGCCACAATGTTGCCGTTTTGACCGTTTCTCAAACCAGCATCGGCATCTTCGGGCTAAACACGCTTCGCTTCACCTTGTGTGACGCGCTGCGTGGCCCTGCACAGGCGACGGGCTTTCAAAGGGAATCCACTAGGCCTATAGCCAGACCCAACAGATGCAGCGCAGAGACTTTGCATAACACTTAAATCTGCTTTAATTCCTAATAGGCTTGGCCTTGTGCTGCGCAGATATTAACTAGTCACTTTGTTACACTAGCCGATTTCCCTCCCAGCCCGCCACCCCCACTAAAACATTAGCTTTATCGCAGACATAGAAGACGCAGTAATTCACAAATATGAACTTAGTACTACACTGTCAGCTCTATCCATACTGCGGATGGGGGGAGTTAGAATCTGTGTTTATTACGCCGAAAATGTACAATTTAAAGCAGACAATCGATCTTCAAATTTAAAGCTACTGTACTTCAGGTGCATATAATTGAATTTAGCATTATGGAGCCTCCAGCCATAAAGGAGGGGGGGGGGGGTCGCAGAGGAGAAAGCAACTGCAGAGCAAACCACACGGCAATCAATACGAAACAATTAAACACATTAACATCAACAGCAATGGAAGGCCTCCAGACGAACCATCATATGCCTTGTGAACTTGACATTGATGGTAAGCCTTTAGCTCTGAGATCTCTTTCAATAGGCTACCACTTTCTCCACCTCTGCAGCAAAATCCACAGCTTTACGCGCAGGCCATATTCAGCTCCCACAGCCCCCAAATATAAAGCCTTTTTCTTTTTAAATATTGGCCTAAAGCTAAAGCTTACCGTTGATACCCTGCTTTAACGTTAAACCTGCGTAACAGATAATTGCCTCGCGTTTTTTTTTACGTCTTTTTTTCAGCGTGCCACTCTCCACGAACGCAGGGCAGCGATTTGCACACGCGCACGCGCACCCTTTATCACGCGCACGTACACACCCACTCAAGCCTCCAGCACGCAAGCAAGCACGGACGCGTTATGCACACATGACTGCCCCTAATCAAAAGACTAAAACAATAACTCACTCTATTGTATCACATCTAGCTTTTGACCTTAGAACATCGATCGGCAGATTTTCCTTGCAGAACAGAGCATGCTCTATTTACTGATGGCACAGCAGGGTCACACACACTGAGCAGAAGCTAAGTAGCCCCCAAAGTTGGCTCTATTAGATAAATCAAACAATGTGATTATTATAAAATTATTGTTTTAAATATATATATATATTTGAATATGGTCGATTGCTACTCAAATGCATTGTTTGCTGAAAACTAAGGGCTCATGTGTCCCTGATCTTTATCAGCAGCAGATGCGCATGCAGACAGACAACAAAAACAGCACATAACAAATTACGAATACAAAAAAGCTCGTGTTACTCACGTGATCTGCAAGATTGGTCGATGATCCCGAAAGTTCTTCGTGATCTGATTTTGAGCTGCCATCCCGTTCGTCAATAACTAGATCTATTGGCATTTTTCCTTTCAAACAACTGATGTACCGGTGGCAAAAATTGTCGCAGAGCTCGTGCACCTAGAAAGGGGAACAAAACACCTTTTCTCAGGATGGGGAAACGCTTCAGCCAGGTCCAAGAATAACTTCAATTAAGAGGCATTATCGGCGGCGAGGAAACAATAGTGAAATTGTTGCAGAGCTTATTATTCTCCTGAGGCCGGAGCAACAAGTTGAACGACGAAAAGAAATAATAATAAACAGCACACCGTAAGCTGGCGAAATAATGAGTAGCTGAAACCAAATCTGCAGATCAATAACAATGAGCAACGTGGGCAAAGAGGTTCTAACATATTTTATCAATATCCACTTCATCTGCATCGATAGTTGGCTAAATAAAGCAGCATATTTTATGAAAATGAGCATCATCAGAACGTCTCCCGGTGCATTTATTTTCTTGTTCTTTTTCATATCCGTGATATATGTACAGCAGTGATTACCTCTAGAGCACATTTAGTGATATCGCTTACACTGCAGTCATATTGTGCGTGTGGCAGGTGAAGTTTAGAGAGCGTAGAGATATATAAAAAATTACCTTTTCTAATTCCAAGAGGTGAAACCGTAATACTTGTATGGCTTGTATCATCTGAGGGGGAAAAGAGCAAAAATAACAATTAAAATTACAAAACTGACAAGATTAATGTATATGTACATTTTTTCGCCTCGGAAGTGAGAACGGGCTGTTGTGTCATAAAATAAAACCTTCCAGTTATGAGTGCACGACAGTCAGCGAGAGCATGCAAATATTATATATTTTTTAACTTCTTACACTTCTAATATGTGATTACACAGTGGTCAGCTGGGTAAGTTAGATGGGAAGATTGAACAATGACAGCGGCAAATGTGGTCACACAGCCTCAATTCTAAACTGATCTGACATCAGTGCGGAAGTCTAAATCATATGTTCACATATTTACTTCGAGATGCTGTGGACATTTCAGTATACCGACGGAGGGAACTGGAAGTGGGAGACAAAGAAGTGCGCTTACCAAATTGTCCAACTCTGGATTTGATGAAAATAAAGGTTTTTCTGCTCGGACCTAAAACAATACACCAAATGTCAAAGTTAGTTTAGCATGAAATGTGTGGAATGTGGCCCACAGTTACAACTTTAAATTGAAACAAAAAAACAAAAAAACAACAACAACAAAAAAAAAAGCCAAAAAAAAAAGAAGCAAAAACTTGTGTGTTTTAAGTGAAAATTCTATAATTAATAACAGTCACAAATCATTAAAAAGGGAACTTTTTATTTTAAAAAGAAAATAAAGCAAGCGGAAAACTATTTGCCGTGACGCAGACACACCACCCAAAAATATTTTTTAAACTGCAAAATTGACCTGTTTGGCAAAGACTGCAATGTCCTCATTGAAGGAGTCTGAAGAGCAGACATCGCCGCCTGCTACGCCGGGCTCCCTCGGAGTACACGTCGCCAACTCGCACTTCTCAAAAACCAGTGCGAGGAGTGGAAATAAAGGGTGACTGCAAGAGGGGAAACACGGCCTGAGTACAAACAGCACACCGGCTCTACAATACCCACTGTAAAAAATGTCCAGTCTACCTGCGTATTAGTCGGCTCCCTGCTCTTCAAATTCTTACTGCAACTAATAATAACAATAATCATAATTAAAAAAATATTTTATCTCGATTTTTGTTTTTACTTTTATCCCGCTGTCTAGTTGTTTCTTTGTTTTTTATTACTCTACTATCAAAACATGTGTTAAAATATGTTAAAAATGGACGGCGACAATTAAAACAGTGTGTCTGATTTTAGAAAAGTCTTCTTAGTAGTTTTCTAGTAACACATGCATGTGGACAACCCCGTTTGGTACATTTTCTTTTAGCAATTGAGGTCTCATATGTTATTAATCGACTGGAGACAGACATTTCTTGCAGTGCGAAAGACAAAAGACTGAGAAGTGAACAAAACTTCAAACAAAACACAAAGCTGACTGTCGACAGATTTCAGTGGAATTTTAAGAAATTATACGGTCGCCAGGGATAAAAACAAAAACACAGAGTTACACTTAAGACGTCGTCACCGAAGACTTTAATATAATTATCACTGCTGTTTTAACCCAGGCCTACATCTTCATCGTTTCACAGAGGTGAAATGTGTAAACTCTATCTTCCAGTTGTTACAGTCATCCAACATCTTGAGGCAATCGCCAAAATCATTTTAAAATGCAGATTATAATTTCAGCAAACTCCTTATTTCTATCTCCAGCGATAACTGGATAAATCTGACAATGGCTTTTTAATTAATTGTGATAAGTATATATTTAGGTATTAAAGAGAATAGAGTCAATTTCCCATATGAAAACGCAAGAAAAATAGAAATGATGAGCTAGATTTACTCTACACCACATCCCAGATTATACCGGGATTATAGCACTTACTGTGTACGTATTAGTGAGCATTATCTGTAATCATTTTTTTTTTAGTTTTGCCCTCAGTAGTAAGTAGCCTGCCAGTTCTTACATTATTGTAGATTAATGTGATAAAATTATAAAGACATTTAATGTGTTGTAACGCGCTGGCTGTGTATGTGTGTGTGTGTATGTGTGTGTGTCACTGCAAACTATTTTTGAAACCCTTTACAATATATTTGCATGCAGGAACAAGAACGTTTTAATAAGTATAGCCTGTGTTTACGATGGAGGAATATTAGTGTGCAGCGATATTACAAGGCACACTTTGCAATATGGAGCAATTGCAATGATGTTAAAAAATAATTTTTTTATCATAATTCTTTGCAGTCTCTGTATTTGGAGGTTGGACTATGAACAGCGAGCTTCCATGTTATTCTACAGCTTGTATTTCAAGCTTAAGGCTCATACTCTTACTTACTGCAGGCTGCTCGATGCCTTGTACAATGAGTGTAAAATTACACATCAACAAAACTCCCCTAACCAACAATAGAGGTCCAAAATTGCGGTCAAACCTGCACAAAACACTATTTAAATTTGGTAGTGGGAGAGAAACTCCAACAAAGCAAACTTAAAGAAAAGCTGCAAAGTTGAGGGGGGGAAAGGTGCGTGAGCGCGTATTAGATCCGTGTGTAAACCTTACCCATAAATTTGATCTTTATCCCTCTTTAAAGCGTCGTTGACAGCGGAGCCCATGCTGGTGGGCATAACGTTCGGATGAGGAGCGTGGGCTCCGTAGTGCTGGCTGGCGTGCAGCGGCGGTCCGTGGTTCAGGTGGTGGACCTGGGGAAGCGGCCGGGGAGCATGCGGGTCCCCGTACATCGACGCCGGGACTCCGTCCATCCCACCATAATGGGCCAGCTCATCGTACTAGGAATTAAAATTAGAACAAAAGTCAGCCGACTTTCCGGTTAAGCTACTTTTTCTTTTCTTAACAAATGTATAAAGTAAAGCATGCCGTGTCATTCTGAACAAACTCAAAGAAGAAAGTAAAAAAAAAAAGCGTTCGCAGTGGAAAATTACGCTGCAGCCAGGGCAGAAAAGTGTGATATATTATATCTGCTACTCGGTGTGTCATTACCAAAAACATAATAAGTTGGGAGCTCCGCGGAACAGAGTTTGGTGGGCGAATAGATCGAATTAGTTTGGAGTCCTCTGTGAAACTGCTCCACGGCTGTCGTGGAGGCTGTCGGTAAAAGTAGAGGCTGTCACTTTGCTTGAAGAGTGAGAGCGCTGCAAAAATGTCAAATATAACTGCTTTGATGGGAATACTTTGTAAATTTGCCACCACCCGACAAGAGGTTAGCGATACGAGGGCCTCCCTACAGTGGATTTGAACAGGTAAGTGTAGCAGATTTAAAAAACCTACCCTTTGCGCCATCAGGCTGCGCTCCAATAAACTCCTGAATCTGTCGTATATTTAATATCCCAGTCCCGGTTAGAAAGTGATTTAGTGGCAAGATTCCTTTTTCAACCAACTTTGCGAACTCTCCTATTCGCCAGTGTGGTTCAGTTGAAAGCGTAGCATCAGGGAGTTTTGCAATTTTTCTTGTTTACCCTCTTTCCTGGAAAAAAAAATAAAAAATGCGCCAAAGTGAAGGTTACAATCGGCCCATCAACAACCTGCATGTAACTAAACTGTCGTGTCTCATGGCTTTTTGCCACTCCAGCTGTCAATCAAAGCCAGAGGTTGTCAAGGTAATGAATGAATGACGGTTGGTGATGATGTTCAAGAGAAGGACGAATCTTTTTAGTCCGTTTTCATCCCGCAAGTCCGCGTCTCCTTTAATGCCTCCAGATCGCTATCTTGTTTTATTATCACTGTAAAAAAAAAAAAAGAAGAAGAAAAAAGCAGTCGAAATTAAGAGATTGCGATTCAGATCTCTCCTTTCTTTCCCCCGTAGGTATTTCGTCTATCTGGCGAGACTGAGATGAGTGAGTGTCAGCGAGTGTTGGCAGGTTGGCTGCTAGCTTGCTTATAGAAACAGAGTCAGTTCGCAGCGCTGAGCGGTGGGCGAATGAAATGACGGATCCCGGAAGTAGTGGTGGCCATAGCCAGTCCTACAGCAGCTCCAGAAAAGAGAGAGGAGAGACCAAATCTTGTGATATGCAGAGTATATGCGAGGCACAGGGACGACTTCAACTCCACACTGGGGGTAAAAAGCCAACGCAGAACAGCTCCAACTCCCACCCAATTCTTCTTCGCCGATAAAAGTCCTAAAGAAACAGCAGAAAAAGGTTGAATGAGAGAGGTTTACCAGAGCGGGCACTTGTAAACACTTCGGCTACAAATGCTCCGAGCTGAACTAAACATAACACCGACTGAATGTATCTGCATGAATTATGAAAATAATAATAACAACAATAAAATGCTACATTTAGAGCAGAATTGCGCACTACGAGTCCAAACTTTTACGCACGGAAAAATAAATATTTTACGTCTTTATTTTCATTGATAGAAAGCTATTACAACGAGATCTTATGAATGCTGACTTTAATATATGAGCACGACGCTTACTTGTTTTCTGTTTTGTGGTTATAAGCCGGTGTGCATACTCAGTATCTCAGTAATACCTCCTAATCTCACTGCTAATTATTGCTCTGGTCTTTTTAGCAATTAAACGGCGCGCAGCACCCCTCTAAGCCCAGAATGAACTTTTCCAAGCGGAAAAAAAGCTTTTGTGGAGAAAGTAATTTTGTGTGTTTCTTTCGTCCAATCCCGTCTCTTGATAGAACCTCGTTCCTTACCTCAGAGTAGTCAATTATCAAAGCTCCCCGAGATCATCAATCATGTGAGGAGATTGAAGTTTAGAGGAGGAGCAACGCTCCGGCCATCGATTGCAGTGAAGCCCTCTTTGGAGCCTGAGCACTTTTACGCTCAAAACAGAAGCAGGCCATCTATCCCCTTTAATATTTAGCTCCATCAGTGCTAATATGGCATCATGGCTGTATTGATAGGTTCTCACATAAAGGCTCCATTTATTGCTCCGTGACATTTTTTGATGGTGGGAATTAATTATTCACAGGTTAGGATTAAGGTAGACACACGCTCAGGGAGATAGGCTGTGGCTACTGCTGGAGGGTCAATAAACTCTCCCAACAAACAAAATACAAAGCAGAGCTGTTCAGGGTCGATTACAGAAATAGAAGGGTTTTTTAAAAAAATGAAAAAGATTTAATACATGAAAGCGTGACAACAGTTATGTTTGTTGGCATAAAGGGGGGTGGGAAGTGTAGGACTGCAGGCTTTGACAAACGGCTGTGTGGACATTTCAACGTGCAATACCCCGGGAAGGAGCAGCAGAGCAGTGCGCAGAGAGCCAAGGCATTCACCGTCTCCAAGTCTCTCTCACACTCTGTAAACACAACCAGCCCGGCAGACTCTGCTATTGAAGACTGATATTTTCATAAGCTAAATATTGTCGTTCACATTGATTTGTGCACTAACGCTTGACTTTTTTTTTCATCCTCCTTCTTTGGACAACCATGGTAAGTAGCATAAACCTTATTGTATCTACTGCTTTGTTGTGAGCGCGCGTCCTTTCGGGGCGCAGCATGGGGAAAGTTGTGAGGCTGGACTATACAAATGCAGACAAAATTCTTTCTTTTTAAGATTAGGTGACGTTTGCACTATACAGCTTAGCAAATCCGAATCTTATCGTTATTTTTTTCCTATTTGCATACTTTTAGATTTTGCGAATTTCATGTTTTTTGTTGTTTTTCCCCCCACATTTATTCAGGAAAATATGTGATTTGCCCCGGAGGAGAGTGATGTAAACACCCGAAGAGCGTGTGAAAATAGGAGAAGCTAATTATGCGTGTCCAATGTACGGCTCCACAGACACACATCCTTCCCTATAAAACTTGCGGCAATGACTCCCAACGACGTGAAATTTTAAGCTCTTTTCTTCTGTGATAAATTTACTCGAGTAATTAATGAAAGCTATAAACACGAGACTTCATAAGTGACAATATTTAGGTTATTAAATCTGCTTAATAACAACTTTTTTTATGTGGCATTACACAAGTCGGTGTTTAATTTTCCAATTTCATTTTAATCATCATTCACTCAATGGTTAATTAAAATTAATTTTCCTCATAAACAAGACATGTGCCAACCTAAACTCCCCAGCTTATAACCTGACGGCGTTTACAAGGAAGATACCTCCAGGAGGACACCTAACACAGACAATTAGACTTTTTAAAGTAGTTTTATGTTTCTTCACGTTAAGGCTCTTTTCAGGTGCACAACTCCCGCGCGTTTGAGGGAGAAAAGAAAATCAGTAGATGGCATTAACAGGCGGTAAAATTTCATCTGGTGGTGTCAAATTGAGGTCAGTTTAGGGTTAAAGCTCTCGGTGTCCGTGTGGGACATGGCCAGCTGCGTTTGGATTCATTAGGGGGGGAGAGGATCCATTTCAAGGAAAACACTACTGGGACAGTCACCAGGCTAAAGATCCACTGCATGTCACATCCCAAGGTGCACCAGGACCGCCTGCGCGCCACCCGAGCACCAGCACTCCAAGTCCCACTCCTCTGTTTACTCTTTGCGGGACTTACAATCCCTCTCCCCCTCTCCTGCCCTGCAGGGCTCGGTTGTTCACACACACAAGCCTGTTGCTAAATATGGAGAGAAATGCATTGTTGATTTAATTCCCTCAAAAAGATCACTGATATGAAACGAGCTTCAAATCCTCTTAGTGACCTTAAACACTCCTGAAGAAACAATTGGCCCTCAACCGCAGGAACAAATAAAATCGCCCTAATCTTGTTTGTAACTTTGTTCTTTCTTTGGCCCACTTCAGTATTTGAGATTATGCAAATTAGGAAAGCTAATGTATAGAGAGGTTGAGATAAGACAGGCTCATGGACTGACTGCAGGAGGAGCGCGGAAAATAAAAACCTTGCAGTGTCTTTTTGTTTGTTTGCACCAGTTCCTAAAAATTATAATAATAAAAAAAATAATCACGTAGTTTGACAGAATTTTACTTCAGCATTTAATTTTGCGCTCAATAAAAACAAGTCAGTTCGACATTTTCTTGATGTCTCCAATTCCACAGAAGGCTGTTAATTAATCCATAATTACCAGCTCCGTATACTATACGTTTATTTATTTATTACATATTTTATAATATTTTATTCATCATTTGTTTAGAATATTTTGCCCCCTTTTTTGTTTCCTTCTTTCATAAAACATTACCTCAGTCCTCTGCGTCTGAACTCTTTATGACCCCGGAGTGAAATGTGACTATAGGGTTTCAGAAAGCGGAGTGAGCAACTCAAATACTTGTAAAAGTTTCGCGACTAACTGTAAATTCTTCAGCTCCAAAGCCTCATTTTCCCCTCCACCGATTCTCGGAGCCTGGTGTCAGAGGGTTAGTAAAGGGTGGAGGGGAGAGAGAGCGAGAGAGAGAGAGCGAGGAGACCAAGACAAAACGTAACCGCGGCT